TAACACAACTAAGAATAGAGAATGGAAACTAACTAACATACAACATCTACCACAGATAGGATTAGGAAGTTGACTAATAATGAAACACTACCATAACCAATACTACAAGAAGTACTATTAGTATTATTGTCTAACACTCTTATCAGAGTGTAACGATACTACGAATTTTTTTTTTCTATTAATCATTGCAGCTTTTTGTAGTTTTTTCTACTGTAATATTTTTTCTAGGGTTGGGCAGTGGATACTACTTTTCGGATAATCTAGTATTTTATTAAAATGACAATATGTAAAAATTACGGTTACGTCTATGAAATACGGAGTATACTACTATTACGTACTCTTTTTTTTTAGTCTCTTTCGCTTTGCGGGTAAAAGTTTGACTATTTATATATAAATATAAAATGGATTAAAATATAAAAATTATACCAAGTTATTAGTATTGAACAAATATTTATGATGTATGATTTTTAATAATGTTTTACGAAACTCGAAAAGAAACCCCACAATTAAAAAAGAGTAAAAAGTTAAAAGTTTTATTAATTAGAGAAACCAAACACAAAGAATGTAAATACAGAATTCCCAGTTTCGGGTGACACAAGAAAAGGAATGTAAAGGAGCGGAGGAGTAGCAAATTAAAATGTGTAAATTGCAGAATTAAAAAGGGGTGCCCAAAATATTCAAACCCCAAATATCTTTGTTGGTTCATGGTTGGTTATAGCGTAGTAATTGTGAATTAGAGACGGAATTGACTGGGTCAAATCCTCGACCAGGAGATCACCCGGTGGGGCCAGTGATGGGAAGGACACAAAACTCTCGAGTCTCCACAAACACACACCCCGCCTGTCACCACCACTCTCACTCGTCACTTGTGGCGCCACTACCAAAGTTTTGCTTTGAGATTATTCATTCATATCTCAATATATATAAATGTGTTCTTTCAGTTTGAATTTTTTTAGAAATTAAATTAGATAATTTTTAGTTATCAACTATTCAATTATTACGGTCTAAGTGTATTGCATATTAATGTAATGAAACCGAGCATTAAAATATGATTACATATTTTTTTTTATTATATGTTACAATTTCTATGTAATTAAAGTTAAAAAAATCATCTAGCTTGATTCGAAAAAGTTATATTAGATGAATAAATGTAATATTTTCTCATTTGTTGGAAAATAGTTGTTTCATTTTATTTAAGTGTTGTGCATTTTTTGCTTCTTATTTTTGTGCGTATAAATTTCAGCTATACTATTTTTCTATTCCTTAAACTTTATAAAAAAGAAAAAAAAATCAATTTGTGACGAAGTATTGTCTTTATTATGAGAAATAGAATGTTATTATCTCCGTTTCAGAATGTTTGTTTGGATTTGACCCTCTAGAGTAAAATTGATCAACTTTGACTATTAATCAAGGGAAAAAGACTAAAGTACATAGAAAATATAAGAAAATATGTGTTGTATGTTTCTATTTCTAAAATAAAAGTTAAAATACATATGAAATGTCAGTCAGTCCAATAGATAATATCAATGAATATTGTGGAATGTTCATATACACTGCCACGTTATAATAATGCGAACTTCTATTTTGAGATAAAAATATAGATCTCATGTTTTGGTAATTTCTTTATGTTTTACCCCTTTTCAAGGTTATTTCTTTTAGTTAAATAAAATTAATTTTAGATATTGATACAAAAATAATTTTATTAAACGTGTTTTCTACCTTATTCAAAAAAATATCAAATTAATACTCTGTATATCATATGGAGTATAGTATTTATTTGATATATATCCCATTAGTACTCTATATCATATGGAGTATAGTATTTATTTCATGGTAGATGAAGAAAGCATTATTTACTTTCCTAATTTTATTGTTACTGTATTTAATACTCCCGAACATATATGCCTCAATATCTTGTTGTTAAACCGAAATATCACTCTCAATCAGCTTTTTCGATGGCTTACTTCAAAGGAAATTTATGTTGAGGTGTAACATAAGATTAGCTCGTTTGATTTCACGTTTAAGGGGATGCATATTGCTTTGTTTTCTTCACAGAGTCGAGGTTGCGGTCGACCGCACCATGGATGTGAGAATATCACATCCCGAGGTGGTCGAGATAGTCCAACTTTCATACTACCTCCGTCCCACTGTTTTTGTCCAGTTTTGACTTTTGGAACTGTTCATTTAAGCACTTTGACTCATCAGATTCTCTCAATGTGTAAGCCTAAAAATAGTCATGTGTGATCTTGTTTGATTCGTCTTTAACATATAGATTATTAATATATAATTTTTATAATTTTTTAATATACAAATTACAAGATAAAATGGGTTAAAGAAGTGCATTTGATGGTGTGCAAAAATGAAAGTGGACAAAAAGAGTGGGACGGAGGGAGTATTTTACAAGTCATGTTAAATTTCTTTGTTATACTCTCTGTCTCAAATTATATTTTGTACTTATTTCTTCATGAAAAATAATACTATGTAAATGCGAAAATATTTAATTTAGATTTATGCATAAGAAAAAGAATTGAGGTGACCCATTTAATATATTCTTTAAAAGGAATGCAAAATTTTTATTGGGATTAACAAAGTGAGAAACTTATTGAGACGAAGAGTTTATATTTTTAAGAGTAAATTCTATAATTGGTCCTTTATAACATGGGGGTTTCCCTATTTAGTTCTCTATTATCAAATATTACCCAAGTGGTCCTTCTTTAATGGGTACCTTTCCACAAATAGTCCTATTTTTGATCTTCTATCATGTTGGTGTTAATTTGAGGGTTAAAAGTGTAATTTCACAATGATAATTTATTTTTTTTGTCATACACAATTCCAAAGGCTGTTTCGTTTGCGTTGTTTGTGAATTACAGTCGCTTTTTACGACAACTATAGTCTATAAATGTGATTTTTCGTCAGAATCATAGCCCACAATCATAGTTATTATTTTTGTGTTATCCGCTTAACCAATATCAGAACACGTCACTAGACATAATGTTGACGTCAAATTATACTTTTAGCCTTTAAATTAACATCAACACGGCAGAAGATCAAAAAAAGGACCATTTCTGGAAAGGTACCCTTAAAAAAAAGACTACGGGGGTAATATTTGATAATAGAGAACTAAATAGGAAACCCCCATGTTATAAAGGACTAATTATGGAATTTACTCTATTTTTAATGTTTATTTGATAAATAAAATAATTAGAACACTTTTTTTTTGTAAAATTTTTGTGACGTAGGTTTTTGATACATACTCTTTCCGTCAAGTTCAGCACTTCACCAATTCACCGTTGTTATTTGCTCCCTTTATCTATTACGGAGTACTTTGTATATTTCTTCATTTTTTAACGATATAATATAAGCTAGAAACTTATTTGATTCTCAGATTTTACCTGTTTTAAAATTTGAGTGCACATGATATAATTTGATTAAATAAAATATTTATGTCACCTAATTTTAATTTTAAGTAAATTTTAAGTATTTAATATATACTTTCAAATCATCCCAAATATACAATTAAATAAATGTTGTAAATCGTGTGTTAAGAATCCAATAAGAGGGAAAGAATAGTTTTGTTACTTTACTTTTGTAGTGTATGCAAAAGGAAAAAGTACAAAAAAAAATTGAAAAATACCATTTTAATACTTTCTCTATATAACAATATTTTAATCTTATTTAAGGTAATTTGAGAAGGAAGCACTTAATGTTGTGTTTGATCGAAGAGGGAGAAGCGAGGCATTCTTTGTCCCCTTTTTTTATGGAGACCTTTTTGTTGTTGTGAGGAAAGACATAGTTTTATGATAAAACAAACAACTAAAATAATTTTTGATAGTCAAAATATATTTAAAAAGTGACAAAAGTTATATTTACTTCATCCCACATTTGATTATAATGTTTATTATTCTAAAATAAAATACATCTTTTATTTTGTAAATTTTTTGATGGAGTTTTTAAATACGGAGTATTTAAATTTTATTTTTTATTTATGACTTACTCTTTAAATAAATTGAATTAAAAAAATATGAATTTCCTTTTTGTTTTGCATAATTTGCAATCAATATAGAGACGGAGGGAGTAACTTGTAACACGGTTCATGCAATTCCATTCTTTTGCTATTGTCCTCATGCCACAATTCACTATCCAAAAAGCACAAAAACTTTTTTTTATTTTTACGTTTTCAACGATTATTTAATAAAATAATTTTTTTTACTCTTATTTTAAAGAACTTTTGACGTAAATTTTGAATATATAGATTCTGTTTTTATTTCTATGTGACAACCATTTGTAGACGAATTAAGTTAGGGGCACACCAACATGGGGTACCCCAAATGTACATCAAAGTCAACACAGACACACACAGACACAAAGTGTCTGTATTGCACAGACATTTTGTGTCTGTGTGTGTCTGTGTTGGCTTGGTGTACACTTGGGGTACCCCATGTTGGTGTACCCCTAGCATTGCCCTTTGTAGACGGAGGGAGTGTTTTTTAGACGGTAAGGCTATATTTTATTATATTTCTTAAATATATTTAAACTAACTTTTTTCAAAGGACCATGCTACACTTACACAAAAAAATATATCTCATTTGTACACCACAGGTTTGCACAAACATTTCGATGGATTACACCGACACAAGTGTTGGTGCGTTAATAAAAATTTACACGGACACAAATGTTGGTGCGTTTAACAAAATTTAGTTTTACACCAACACAAAATGTTGGTGCAAAACTGCGGGGTACAAATTGGGGTACAAACCTTGGGGTACACATAGCATAATCCTTTTTCAAATATTGTATTACAAAGAAATCATATTTTGGGACACATGTCTAAGTCTGATTTAAAAATTTCAAAAAATATATATATAAAAATTGAAATTACATAACTGAAATTGATCAAAATGCAACTAAGATAGACCCCAAAAAATGACTGATACTAAAATAAACAAATACAGTGAATATCGTTTATATGTAGCACTGCAAAACCATCTACCACTTGTACTCTATAATTGTTTTAATTATTATACTCCGTACAATAAACAGACCCACTCAACTTCCGTCTATTTTAACGGTTACGGTACCACACATCTGTAATAGTATAACGGATTCTAGACGCCTTTGGAGCGTCGCCGACGGTGAACAAAATTTGCCGGAAAACTGGCAAGCCGGCGATCGGATAAACCTGATAGGGACACTATAGCACTTCCAAGAGTGCATCCACGCTGGGGAAGTCGCCGCCGCAGTCTTGGAAATAGTCGTCGACGCCCAAGGTTCCCAGGTCTTGGAAAGATTCATTAAAGATCTCGAAATCGTCGCTAAAGAATTCGTCGGGGAATGCGTTCCGGGAGAAATCGTCGAAAGAAGGGAAGAAACCCGGCGATGCGTCGCCGATTAACGACTGCTCCGAATGTTGGGTGTCGAAGAAGTCGTCGATGAACGGAAGGTCCGTCGGGAAATATTGGGAGGGGTCCGGCACTGTGTTCGTTTCTCCGTGGCATTCTTGAATCGCCGGCGAAGTCGTGTTGTGATTGGACTCCCTGCAATCGTTTGTCTGGTAAGATTCCTCGCCCGATTGGGCGGTTCTGAACTGGAGAACAGACGTCGGAGACGAAACGTTGCGGGACTCGTCGCCGGAATCGTAGCCGGAAACAGAAGCGCCGTTCCCCTGCTTCCCCGGCGGGACTCCGAAATTGGTCAGCGCATCCGGTCCACGGAGCTTAATAGCGGCATTGTCGTAGACCGCCGCGGCTTCCTCAGCCGTTTCATATGTCCCCAACCAAACTCTGACCCGTCGGGTCGGGTCCCGGATCTCGGCAGCCCATTTTCCCCAAGGCCGTTGCCTTACGCCCCGGAACTTCCTGACACCGCCGGAGACACCCGACGGGCCAAGAACATCTTTCCCCTTCCCTCCTTTCTGCCTGGCCGGAACCGGCTCCGGCGGCCTCTTCCTACCGTTCCTCCCAACACCGCCGTCAGCGGCGGAATCGGACCCCCTCTCAATCCGAATCTCATGAATATATCTCTTCACACGCTGCCGTCCGAAAGACTCCTCCTCTTCTCCGCCGGAGGAATCCGTAGCGTCGGGGTCGGTTACCGAAATCCGTACAGTCCGCCGGACGTCAGGCGACTTACTGGGCTTGTTAAAGAAGTGCTTGACAACGTTTCTGTGCTCCGTGTATTTGATCGGAGGAAACATGGCGTATTCCATGATCTGTGGCCAAGGGAGAGAGAAGAAGATGGAGAAAATGGAAGAAAATTTGCTCTGTTTTCCTTTTGGAGTGAGAGTATATGAAGAAAATCCTCTCAGTGACAGAATGAAGCCTAGCAGAGGATGGACCGCTTTTTATAGAGCCCGGTCCGTCCCAAGTTTATTAAAAAAAAATTAAATACTCAAGTAAATTGTTTTTGGATGACATTAAAATTGACACCAATATTATCTTGTAAACTTTTATGCCTGAAAGAAATTAGGAAGTATTGAAAGAAATTAAAAAAAATCCGAAAATATTAGAATAATATTTCACTTCAAAATAAACTTGATATTTTCTCAATTTGTGACTCATAAGCATTCTTCTCTCCTCATATTGGAAAGAGTTGATAATTAGAAAAAAAACTGGAAAGAGTTGTATATTATACTTCATATATTAGAAGAGGGGTGTATTATGATGTCAATACCTAATAAAAACAATATTTTAAAATATTAATATACACTGTCAAATTGGAATATTTTAAAGTACCAAAACTCGTATTCCAAAGATTTAAATTTATGAAGTACTTTGTGTTATTTTTATATAACTTCCATTTTAAATCTTATTTTGGTAAATTTTTTATTCAATATATTTTCTTAGTTTAACATTTTTATAACCGCTTAATTTTCAGAAGTGTAAATCTTACTTGGAGACATGACATGATCTATGTTCTTAAAAGATTGGCATAGTTTGATTTTTTAGATCAAAATGCAGTATTCCTGAGCACGAACTAAATATAGTTTAAAATATTAAATATTATAAAAATTTGATATTTCAAAACTACACTTTAAAATAAATTCCATTTACTAAATTTACATTATAAAAATATACTTTTTTCATAATTCATAGTAAAAATAAATGTCACAGTTCGATCAAAAAAATCAAATCGTGACAATCTTTTAAGAATGAGGGAGAAGATTTTTTTAGTATTGTTAGTGAGGCATTAAGTGCAATAGTGCGACACAGGTGACTGTCTTTCTTTTTTCCTTTTTGTTTTATTTTATTTAATTAATAAAGAAAAATATCCGTGGGTGGCGAGTGGGCGGGAGACGGAGACGGTGGGGCCGAGGATTCCGGCCACCGCCAACAGGAGGCGACACTCAGCCGCGAGATTTTGCGTGACACGTGTATTTGGCGCGCCCAGGTGAGCGCTGGGATGGTCCAATGGGCGAATGTTTAGGGGGGATGAGTCAGCAGGACGAGTGTTTATTTCTGTCTCGAGTCACGTGTCACCGGTCACGTGGCCTGCCCAGCCCTGCCCGGAGTAATTAGAGATTAACAGCTCATATTTTGACCAATCTAATTACGGTTCCATATATGCTTAATGCCTTAAATATAAATAATACCGTAATTAGAGAAATTTCCTAAATAATTATTACTGGCCCAAAATAAGTCGGCAATACATACGGTGCATTACAACAGTACGGAGTAAACTACAGTGTTCTTTTTTGTGTTTTGGAACAGAGTACATTAACGTAGATATTATTCGAATCGCTAATTTTTGGGGATGAGATTTAGAGTTGAAAAGGTTTGATTTGCTAATTGCTTCCTAGTTGTTTCAAATATGTAAACATTCTTTTTTTTTTTTGCAAACATAAATAAAGGCAAACATTCCAAAAGTATCTAAAATGATCCTATACATTCCATTTCGCAGTGGCTGAAAATGTATTTTATGCAAAGACGTAGTAATTTCTGTTTAGATTCTTTTTTTCTTTTTTCTCACCATATTTTCATTTTGGCTAAAATCTACTATTGATCTTCACATGCAGGGTCTGTTAGGAAATATCGTTAGAGATTAGAGTTAGTGTTTTGGATAAAATTTTAACGGTGCAAATTACTTTAAAACGCTAACGCTAAACGCTATTCGTAGATAGCCTTTTAAAAACGCTAAGGCTATTCCCAAACAGGCCCGCAAATAGCCTTTTCAAATAGTCTTTAAGTATATATCATTCTACCGAATGCAGTTTTTTACGGCATACTTTAAAAGATAAACAGAATACTAGCTCCAATATAGAGGGTTATGAATGTTTGAAAGACTACATGTACAGTATTACGAATACTTGAATGACTATTTATGAACTTTTGAAACTTGAAGAACAATTGTAAACAACTCATAAATGTAAAATAACAAATAATGCTTTATTTCTTGAATAAATAGAAGAGGACTACAAAGTATGTATTTATAGGTGGAGGAATATATTCTAGAATCCTCCACATTAATGACTAATTATATAAGGTAATATTATATAATAATAACTCTAACCATAATAGGTAACAACCATAATTATAATATATAATATTAAATATATTAAATAATTGATATATTTAACATGCTCCCAACGTCCTGAACGGTGAAGATTGAACGCCAACTATACTTGAATCGTGACCAAAATTGTAATCAGAAGCTAGAGGCATATCTTCGGCTAGAGTAGACTGAATGCATCCGGCCTAGAAGAGAAGAAGAAAGATTGCCAGGAAAGAGATGTGAAGGCGCTGATGAGGAGAGGAGAAAAGCCGCTGCGAACAAACTCGTGTTGCTGACGTCGAAAGAGGGAGAAGGTTGACGTGCACTGGAGTCGTGCGCGACTGGGTTAGAGAAGAAAAACAAGGAATGAGGTACTGTCGGAGATGCATGTTGACCGACGATCCACCCACGAAGCAGGTTGAGGTGATGATATGAGTTGTGAGAGATCGAAAAAAATAGGGATTGAAGGGTGATTGGAGGAGAATGACTTCTGACTCATGTTACTCTCGAGTGAACAGGTGCGATCTTGGCGCCAGGAGAGGCCGGTAGTTTGGTGGAGTGGGGGACGCCGGTCAGAGCTGCGGCGATTAGGAGAAGAGGATGACGTTAGAGATGCCGGTGACTATAATAGAGATTTTTTTTGTATAATGGAAGAATTTGGATCAGAGGAAAACAGTGATCCGGCGGGCGGCGGTTAATGGCAGTGCCCCCCGCCAGAAGCGAAAGCGGAGAAATTTAGGTCACCAAGAACGGTGACTCTGATACCATGTAAAATAACAAATAATGCTTTATTTCTTGAATAAATAGAAGAGGAATACAAAGTATGTATTTATAGGTGGAGGAATATATTCTAGAATCCTCCACATTAATGACTAATTATATAAGGTAATATTATATAATAATAACTCTAACTATAATAGGTAACAACCATAATTATAATATATAATATTAAATATATTAAATAATTGATATATTTAACAATAAAATTAAAAAATCAATCGTGGTTTTTAGCCATTCTTTTAACCATTCGTGGATATCAATGATCAAAGTTTTACATTAAGGACCATAAAACATTAAATGAGAACTTAATTTTAGAACGAACGGAATAACTAGAACAAAGCAAAGAAACCTCGCAAATGAATTGCAATTGTTCGGATTACTCAATGACTATAGAGTTCTTGTCCACTTTTGACTTTTTTTGTCAAAATTCGTAATCATTGACCTCAAATTAAATAAAAGTGATATTAGATATTGATCGAAAAATAGTTTTATTAGATTTATTATATCAAATATATTAAATATTATTTTATCTAATTAATATACAATATATACACTACAAGAATTAGACGGAATTGCAAGAGCAATTTCTGTTGCAATTTTTGTATTATTCCGTTGCTGATGATGCTTGCAACAGATTTTCCGTTGCACATTTTCCGTTGCAAAAACCATTGTTGCAAATTCATTTCTGCAACAGATTTTCTGTTGCAGAGCATTGCATCGGAAATTTGCAACAGAAATTATTGTTGCAGAATTTTGCTACAGAAGAATTACAACGGAAATGTCGTTGCTAATGTTTGCAATGGAAATTTAGTTGCAACATAATGCAACGAAATTTTGCAACTCTTTTTTCTGTTGCAAAATATTGCATCGGAAAAATGCAACAATTTTTCCATTGCTAAGATTTACAACCAAAAATAGTAACATCTTGAGTGCAACGGGATATTCAGTTGGAGAAGCTGAAAAGAACCACGGTGTACTACGTGCATACTCAATTTCATACCAACTTAACTATCAAATGTAGCGGGGATACTCAAACACATGTATTCCGCAAAACAAGAATTTCAACATTTTCTATAAAACAAAATAAAACTTCATGTACTTTTCAAACATCTCAATAATAATATCTATTATTGTACGTTAAAAATTTAAACTATTAACTAACATATCGATGCACTTCCATCGTCATCAGCTCCGTCCTCTACGGGGAAAACGATCTCCAAACAATCTCTACTCCACCCTATCCTGTTCTGCACTAACATATATTTCTTGTTCATATTTTTTCTTGAAATCATCAGACTCGCTATCCTGTGTGTAAATAAACAAAAACATTTTAATTAAAATATGTCCATTGAATGCATATGCCAATAATTTAAAATGGAGAAAAATAATTACGAGAAATACATAAAAAACCAGCACAAGAACAAGGAAATCCACTTCCATCCNACATACACACTTGTATCCTAAAAAAACTAAACAAGAATTTTAATATCAAACTATCAAAGTTACGGGGCTTAGTAAGACATGCATTATTCAAACTATCAAAGAATCAAACATTAATTATATGATTATATTTACTGTCATAATATATCATCGCCCTAAGTCCAACACCATGCAATATTTTTGAACTTAAATAAAAATACCTTGTGCCACACTGACATAATATTTTCGTGGGTCTCTATTCTCCTTTGAGTTTGTTTTTGTCTCTTGTTTCCCTTACGTTGCCCATCTACAAACAATTTCAAAAAAAGTTTATTTATAGTGGTCTAAAAATGTCTCATCAATCAAAATCCTTAAATCATTAATAAAAATGCTTATTAATATATTTTTCAACAAAAGTAAATAAAAAGCAAAAGGGGAGGATCGAACCAAAGCCCTCCGAAAACTCAAAGACCAACATCAACCAAACCACGTGTAAAATACATAACTAACCATTGATTATAATAGTAGATACTTTGACCCTAAAAAGCTCAAGCATATCCAAGGGTGCTCTACGCAATACCAACCATCAATTTGTGTGGACTCTCCAAAGATCAAGCCCAGTAATACAACCAAATCTGCAATAAATTGCCAAAGTAATAAAAAAACTTATTGTCTTCTGATGCTAAGTTAAAACCAAAATGCAGCAAGAAAACCACCAATGCCAATGCACAAAAGCTCAGCATTAATTCAGACTCACACATAAAGATTTCCTTATTTCAATTCATACTTCTAGAAAATAAGTTTATGAATTTCAGTGGTAAAGGATTTGCTTCAAAACCCACACATCAAACCAAGCAATGCAAACCTACGCATTTCTATTCATATCAGAGTAGAGAATCCATCTGGATCTATTCAAACAACATTTTTGAAATCGCAAACTCAGATTCAAATCACACAAATAATGGAGAAATCGAACACACAACAGGGCTAGGAAAGCTTAGAACCAAATCTCAATATATCAGACACAAACCAATTGAAAATCACGAATCAATCTCAGATCTTGAACTAGAAACACAATACAATTCAATCAAACTATTAATTTAAGATTTAAGTACGTCACCCTCGAAGATCCGTTCAAAATCAAGCTCGGTTGTGCTTGGTTTGGTGCGATTAACTGATGGAAAACTATCCCAGATCGTGCTTTCTCCGAGTGGTGGCCGGGTGCGTCTCTTGCGACTCGCCGGTAAACGCGGGCGATGGAGGCGTTTAACCGGCGAGGAAACCCTCGCTCTCGCTCTCCGCTCTCTCCGCTGTTTTCTAGCTCTCGTAAAAAGTTAAGGTCAAAAAATGAATGAATTTTTTGGTCCCTCTTCCCCCCTTTATAGTTATCTTTAAATTAGTCTCAAACTCAAAAAAAATGACTTTGGAGAATAACATTTATTCAAATAATGTAAATTGAATAAAAACATTAGATAATGTTTTAATATATGTTTTATATGACTGTGTTTTGGGGAATAACATTTATTTATTTTAAAAATATATTTCCTTCCTCTATTAAAATTACTTACACTTTTTCTAATTTTCCAGATCCCATAAAACACTTTTTCTAACTTTATTTCCTATTTAGGTAATGAATACGGAGTATGTGTCTACCAACAATTCTCAATATTTTAAACAAACTTAGTTTTAACCACATACTCTGAATTTTTTACTCTCTTTTAACAAGTTTCTTAAGATTTGTGACATCAAAGTGTCACCAATTTTATAGGACACAAAGAGTACACTATTATTTTGTACTCATGTTTTTATTCAAATAAATCAGTCATTCAATCTTTTTAATAAGTTTCAATTACATTTTTTTAAAATTTCAAATTAATTTATTTTTTTGTTTCATTTTTACTTTCAATTTATTTTAAATTCATTTTTGTCTAATTTGAAAAAAGTAAGCTAAATTATACCTCGTAATACTCAGTATGTATTTTATATAATTGTGTATTTGTGTAGATGTGATAATAATTATTTATTTAAATATGTATACAATTAATTTGCAGCCAAACAACTAAAAAAGTCAAATTAGTAGAATAATTTACATTCAAATTTATTTAATCGCAATTTAAAATTTACATATGCATGAAAAATAGTAACATATAAGTTTGAAATACAATAATTCTGAAATACATGTAGTCAAAATTATAACATTACAAGTAAAAAATATGTAGTAAAAAATGTTATTTTAGCAACAGAATTAAAGCAACTGATTCGATCGTTGCAATTGTTGAATAAGTTGTTGCGGATAGTCTGCAACAGAAAATCTGTAGCAAATATCTGTTTCAGATCATTCCCAGAAAAAGGCGACAACCTCCCGCCAAAATTGCAACAGATAATTTTACTTTCCGTTGCAAAAAAATCTGTTGCGAAATAATTCTGTTGCAAACAAAAATTCTGTTGCAATTCTGCAACGGAATTTTATCTGTTGTAATGTTTCCGTTGCAAATTTGATATTTTCTTGTAGTGATATTTTATTTAATTATATGTCAAAACTTGAAAACAATTGATCAAAAAAAGTCAATTTGACAAATACTCAAAGACGGAGATAGTATAGATATGCAAAATGAGTTTAGGTTTAGGGGACAAACTTTCACGGCAAGGTAATCTTCTTCTCAACTTATTTTTTATTTATTGCTTATTCTTATTGTAATGATTATAAACATTATTGTAGGAAAATATCTACAAGTTTTAGAGTTACATAAAAAACTGTACAAGTAAAAAAAAGTGACATGATTATACAATTTAATACGGAGTAAAGTTTTGATTAAGAGTATAAATATATATACCCTTTATTTAAGAAAATTTCTAGAGGAGTATAATATAAAAATACTAAAATAGGACTTCAAGTCTTTTAAAAATTAAATAAGAGTTCACACTAACGTTGTCAACCGCTGGCCCGACTGCCCTATGCTAAGGCTACACTATCATCTACTCTCGGCACATTGGCATTTTTGTTGTCATTTGTTACTTGGGTCGTCAAAGCGATGCCGTTGTAAGGAAGGTTGGCAGACAACCACGACAACCACCGTCGTTGATCGGCCAACTTTTTAATTTTTCCCCTTTATTTTCTATTCGCACTGTCATCATATTGTTACCAAATTATCACACGCGTATTTAGAAAATTAAATTTTATTCTTATTTAGGAGATATTTTTTTCTATTTTAGGACATGGCTCTACTAATCTCTATACAGAAGTACAATTTGACATTGTTTGGATGTTAGTCGTCGCGTGTTTGTGTTAGCTGTTCTGGATGTCTTTTTAGTTTAGCTGTGTTGACCGGTAGGATGCGTTGGCTGATCACTAAAAATGTTTGGTAAAATTAGCTGTTTGAAAATAGCCGTTTCAAGATTTAAAGATACATACATACATACATACATACATGTGTGTGTGTGTGTGTGTATATATATATATATATATATATATATATATATATATATATAGACACACACACACATAAACACACACTCGCACACAAAATATTTGTTTTTTATTTTTGTACATGTAAAAACTAAATCTTAAAAATTAAATCTTTAATATATGGATTATTAAACTTCACTTTCTTATAATTTATAAGAAATTAATAATATACAACTTTTTAATGATATTTACTTTTGATTTTCTCATTTTATCTTTTATATATTATTCAATATCTTTCAAAAAATGAAAAAAAATAAATTTTCTAACAGCGAAGTCCAAAAGCTACCGCTCTTGCTTTTTATATTTTGGCATTTCAGATCAAACATCCAAGTGAAAAAGCGATTAACCAAACAATAGTTTTGGTCGTTCGATTAGTCAAAAAAACCAAATCAGTCAAAAACACCAAATGTTGTCCAAAAAGCTATTTACCCAACACAGTCTTTATCTTTGATGTAGAATATTTTAGATAGTTTAGTGTTTCTCTTCTCTTTTAATTTTTGTAGTTATTTTAGCTTTACTATGATTGATATGTCACCTTTTGTTTTTTCACGTCTCACCGCCATTTCGCACATAAACATCAATTTGGAGATACAAAAAAACAATTTTTTTCTCGTCTTTTATGAAAATTACTTAATACACATGTTAACCACTCCCTAACACTTTCATATTATGGTTCATATTAAATGTTAAGGTATGATGAATTGGAACATTCAATACAAATAAATGATACCAATAATGATGTACTAATGTGTTACGCTGTACATGGTAATTTTTAATACGAGTAACTACGAACTAAATTTTAGTACTCCGTATGTTACAAAACAACATCCAAAGTAATTGATACTCCCACCATTCCTTTTCAATTCATTTTGCATATCAAGCATTTGATCAATTATTTTTAATGTATATCAATAAATTAGTGGTATAAAAACATATTTTTAATGTATTACGTTAATAATGTTTTGCTAATACTTCATCAAACTTTTCAAAGATCTCCTAAATATGTGTAATTTTGATATTATCTTCTAATTTTTTTCTCACTTTATAATAAGATATGATCAATGAGTAATAATTAGGAATAATATCAAAACTACCATTTTCACCTTATTTTTCAACTTTAAAAAAATATGATGATACAGCAGAAGTATATATGTTAAAATATATTACTCCGTATTAGTCAAACTTTAAACTTGAAAAACGAACAAGTCACTTAGAAATGAGTGGATGAAGTGCTAATGAGTAGGTGACATATATATAAGCATTGGGGTATATATTATGGCTTTTGAGAATCGTTTTCATTTGAAACTTTGAATATCTTTTTAATATTTTTATGAACCAATTCAAATAATATTATCGCCAAAACAGTCACGACATCCAGAGCTTACAACAACCATATAAAAAAAATAAATAATAACATTAAAAGACAACTAAACACTAGTGTTCTTGATAATATAAGTGTTAGTTTGCATCTTTAATTTATCCATGCCACCATCATATCTCCTGTACATAAAACACTTCCCCTCCATGAACTTTCATGTTCCTTGCTTGCCAAATAGAAATATCCTTTTAGTATTACTTTTGAAAACAATAAAGCTAGATAGTGTCAATAGTTTGTTAAATAGATATGTACTACTCCGCAATAGACAAACCTTTCTCGTGATTTTTCTAAGTGAAATTTGCACTAAATAGGATTAAAACATAATGACTTTCCTAATCTAAAACTTAAACTTTTTTATTCCCTAAATAGGACTTATTAATGTTTTAGTGGAGGATTAATGTCCAGTAATGATGGACATTTACTTAAATAATGACTAATTCATAATGACCAAAAGTCCTAAATTAGGAAATAAAAACATATATATAGTCTTATATTGGAAAAATTATTATGTTTTAGTCCTATTTAAGGAAATTACTCTTTTTCTAAAGTAGGTGCATCTATCACACCTATTGATGCATGTCGGCTTCCGTCTAAAACAACGATCGTTTCGACATTTTGAAAATTTTAACATAGATGTACTTAAAAATATAAGCTAATATGGATCCGCGGTAGACTTAGCTTGTTGTTCCTTTACTAAGGGTGCCCTCAATCTTTAATTTTTTTGAATCAGCTCATGCAAAGGACGATGATGCTCAATATCTCGCACGGGACGATGTCAACCTGCTTCCTCGTCATCTTCATA